GGAGGAGAAGGGATTGCGGCGTGGCCATCCCCCCTGGGAGTTGATTTCTTGCTTTCTGTCTCTATGTCTCTCTCTGTCTGTCTGACGAGCACATGTACCCTATAGTGAAAAAAAAAAAAAAAACCTCCCCCCCCAAAAAAATAGTTAAATGGAAATGTAGAGGTATTTAATCTGTCATTTCAAGGAAGACTTCGGGTTCACGCTCATTAGAATGCCCTATAGTGAACCCCCCCCAAAAAAAAATAGTTAAATGGAAATGTAGAGGTATTTAATCTGTCATTTCAAGGAAGACTTCGGGTTCACGCTCATTAGAATGATTATTAGAATATGATCTTTTTGGTATATTCCCATATATGTTTTAAAAGGGTTTAACATTTTAACTCAGTGCTGACGTATGCAAGAGTAGGAAGCTTTGCCCCTCTGAACTGACTAGTGTCTAGAGAAGGTCTGGGCTTACGTTACCCCTCAATAATCTCTGTTGTAGGAACTTATTTGATCCAGACTAGAAAAGTCTTAAGAAAGACTGGATCTCCTTTCCAAGATAATTTTCAGAGAGCATCAACTTCAGGGTGATTCCGATTAGCTCTGAGTGGACTTAGAACATGTGAAACTCCCAGTTCTCAATACAGGAGGGAAAAATGTTAAGGAAACACGATCATGAACAACCCCCCACCTCCCCGCCTTTGAGTGTCTCTCATTGACCAAACTCAGGCTGGAGCAGAAGGTGGGGACTGGTGGGTTCTACGGTGATCAGCTCCATAGGGCCACTGGATGGAGGAGGTTGTGGAGAGCCCTTGAAGGGACAAATGGAAGATAGCTAGCATGAAAACAAACACACGGCACTGGTCGTTATGAACTTTTAAAAGAAAGGGTGAAATTTAGTACTGCTCTGTCAGGTTTTATTTTACTTTTGGTTCAGGAGAGGTCAGAGGACATATATGGAAAGAGGAAAGTGGAGAATCATTCCAAACGACTGTGTTGTTGCCTGATGAATGGTTCTAGCACACACTAAAAACTAGAAGAATGTGGGACCAGCAGATGGCATAATGGTTACGTTGTTGGAATCCTAAGTAGTTGACCATGGTTGGAGTCCTGCACCTGACGGCTGAGACTCATGTAGGGCATACGTACGTGCATGCCCAAGGTCCTGAGAGGAGAACGAATAAGAAGGGGTCATGGTGTGGCCATTCCCCCTGGGGGGGGGATTTATCACTTCTTTCTGTCTCTCTGTCTCTACCTGGCGAGCACATGTACTCTATAGGAAAAACCTCTCCAAAAAAAAAAAACAAACCCTAGAAGAATGCGTCATTCTCTCTGGCTATCTTTTCTTTTAAACACCTTAAGGGAATTCAAGCTTGAGCATCAGACAGCTAGAACTGATTCTGGCTGGGGAGGTGTAACTTGAAATTAGGTTCATGAACTGAGAAAGAAGAGGTGAAGAGCATGGGGCCAGATGAAGTGCCTCACATGACCTCAGGAAAAACTGGAGCAGGTCCTCAGCACACTTGTGGCATAAAAAAGAACACTTGACACTCTCATGCATTCGTTTCTACCTGAGGAACAGGGAGCCTTGAAAGAACTGGATCACGTTCTCCTGAGTTGCACATCTTCCAAGTCTCCCTAGCTGTTGCAAGGGTGTTAGCAATTACCTGACTCCTCCAGGATAAACTGAATTCACCCTTTGGACATGCCTTTAAATCCACAGATACTCAAATCTCTGTTTTCATTTGGAATTCCAGTTAAAATGTTAAACCAAACATTTACTTAACCTTATGCTCATGTCACCCTGGCCCCATTCACTTTATAAACTCTTCCTGATTTCTGAAAACTTAGAACTTAGTATCCATGTCTGGAGAGAAGAGAAAACTGAAGTTGCTGGAATGGAGATAAAACTGTCAAACGCACATGAAATGGGCCAGGAATATTAGGAAACAGAAGCCACAGTTCCACTGAAACTGGTAAGAATATAAATTTGCGGGGCTAGCACGTAGTGTGGTGGTTAAGGCACTGCACTTCCACTTGGCCTACTACAGTTTGAGTCCTGGACCTGGAGGCTTTCTCTCTCTCTCTCTCGTGAGTGTACCTGTCTTGTAGCAAATTTAAAATAATCATAAGTTAAAATTTAAAATAATATAAATTTGCAAATGTTTCACCAATAGAAGGAAAATCACAAGGGACTCACTTTAGCTTTTGAAATATTTTAGCTAAGGCCTATGACTATCAAAACAAAACTCTTCTATTTTTAAATCCTTTTTAAAATCTTCTAAGGAGATTCATTCATTTGAAAGCCATTGTTAAAAATATCACTCTTATTTTTGATACATGTGAAATTGCAACTGAAATTTACTTTTTCCATGTTTTTTGAATGAACTGAATAAAGCGTTTGTCAAAAAGATAAATAAAATAATCTCTTCTAAAGAGAACCAAGAAGTGGGAACAGCAGTTAGCATAATGGCTATGTCGCTGGACTCCCACGTATTGATCACGGTTCGCGTCCCGGATCCAGTGGCTTAAAACTCACGCCGGGCGCGTGTGCATGCATGCCCAAGATCCCAAGAGGAGAATGGAGGAGAAGGGATTGCGGCGTGACCATCCCCCCTGGGGGGTGATTTCTCGCTTTCTGTCTCTAATGTCTCTGTCTGTCTGGCGAGCGCACGTGCCCTATAGCGAAAACCTCTCAAAAAAAAAAAAAGAGAGAACCAAGAAGTGTCAGAGTTCTGCTAGTGTGGGGCAGAGGAGGTCAAGTAGGTGAAGGTTCCAGCTAGACCCCAGAAGCAAAAGACCCTTAACTGTGTCCACATCTCTGACATTGCTGTGAAGACCTCATTGCCCGGATGACGATGTGAGCCAGAAGAGCAAGGTATGTCCTTCTGCAGAAATACCTAAAAGCTCTGGTCGTGGGCCATGCAGCAGCATAATGGTCGCACAACACTCTGGTGCCAGACCGACTTGGAAAGGTTTCAGGTTTGCATCCTAGGACCTCCGTGCACGCCAATCACACATGTGTGCCTGTGATCCAGGGTGGCCGAGGGCTGGGGAGTGAATTATGGCAGTTGGAGGTGTCTGTCATTCTATCTTTCTCTCACTCTCTCACAAGTAAAAAATAAATTCAAAAAGTGAAACCATAGACAACAGTTTATAAGTCTGAATATCTGAGTGGTAACTGCAAATTATCTAACACAGGAATAGCTCTTACCCATCCGATGAGCATACACACCTATCCCTACTGCATATTGGCCACTCACCTTCTCCAGGTAGCAGATCTCGCCCATAAATGCATAAGTTATATCCACATTTATTTTCAAGAACATCAGGCAGAATCTGGTGAACAAAATACTCCACAGAACTGGTCCCCTCCGGGCTATGTTTGCCGCTCCGTGGATAGATTACATAGGCATCATAGATCTTTCCATCTGAAAATGAAAGAAAGAAATACAACTTCATGACTCGGCTCTGACAACTCTTCTTTGACTCTTAGGGATGTCTACATCCCTTGCTGAATTTTTGGGTTGTTAGTGAATGGATCTCATCTTCCAAAATAGTCTGGAATCACGAAATGATGGTGGAAACTCACTGCCACAAAATGTGATTAAGAAATAAGTGCTGGGAACCAGCAGTTAGCGTAATGGCTATGTCGCTGGACTCCCACGTAGTCGACCGTGGTTCGCGTCTCGGACCCGGTGGCTTAAATCTCACGCTGGGCGCGTGTGCGTGTGTGCCCAAGATCCCGAGAGGAGAATGGAGGAGAAGGGATTGCAGTGTGGCCATCCCCCCTGGGGGGTGATTTCTCGCTTTCTGTCTCTATGTCTCTCTCTCTGTCTGTCTGGCGAGCGCACGCGCCCTAGAGCGAAAACCTCTCCAAAAAAAAAAAAAAAAAAAAAGAAATAAGTGTTCACCCCCAAATTTTTCTCCCTTTTTGTGAGATGATGGTGGAAACTCACTGTCAAAGAATGTGATCAAGAAATAAGTTTTCACCCCCAAATTTTTCTCCCTTTTACCATCTCAATTGAATGAAAGAGAATGGATAAGAACCGGTTCAATGTAGTTCAAAACATAGCATATCATTGTGCTTGGTAACTAATCTATTAGTAAGTATGCGTGGAGTCATGAATAGGGTTGGGTAGTCCTCGGTTTCATTTTACCTGCCTCACATGCCCCTGGGGATGTTAAAGGCTAATGGTGGCAAGGGCGTGGGATTTTTTAAAGGGTCTGAATTTCCCACAAATCAAACAATCTGCTCCTAGTTAAGTGAACCACATGGAAAAATCCATCATATAGCATATATCTGCCTCTAAATGAAAGTGTCAGGTTCCTATTTAGCAGGGGGAATCGTCTTCTTTCATGTGCACACTTGAGTGTGTAGACATGGAACAGGGGTCCAGGTAAAATACACCTGTATTCTGATGGACCTTTCTAACCTGCTCACATCTGGGAAACAGAAACAGTGTCGTAACTGTTCGGTGATACAGTTCTACCAACATACTTCTCCCAAAGTATTTAAACCCTCCTGGGCTTGGGGCAGAGTCTGTTATGGGGGATATGTTAAGGTGAGTCTCAGGACCACCAACAGCTACTCACAGGATGGAAAAAAAAAAAAGTCTGAGTGGACCCAGAAGAAAATTTACCAATAACAGGAGCCACCAGGTGGCATAATGGTTAAGGCACTGGGCTCTCACAGGGCTGATTGTAGTCTGAGTCCCAGATCCAACGGTCTGATCATCATTCTGGGTGCATGTGCAGGCATTCCCAGAAATTCCAGAGGAGAGTGGAGGATGAAGGAATTGTGGTGTCAACATACCCTCAGAGGGTGATTTCTTACTTTCTCTCTGTCTCTCTCTGTCTCCCTCTAGTGAGGGCATGCATGTCATGGCAAAAAAAAAATAGCTGATAATGTGTTAGCAAACAAAATGGAATTTTGAGTTTAGCAGCATAGCTATTAAAAGAATAACAGACAAGTAACTGAAAATCATTATGAGACTTCTTCTTTTGAAGAAAAACTTGGACTTTGCCACTTACCATTCCTAGTTTTGTAAGGTCGAGCGACGTCCCTCCAGAGCAGAATCATCTCAATCCAGAACACTTTCAGGATGATCATCAAGACATTGATGAGCATTAGCAACATGCCACTTCCTGCCACTATGTAGTAGTAGCTGTGACGGTCAACTAGTCAAAAGATAGGGGAAGGAGAACAGTGACATTATTATTACCAGAACCGGAATAAGTGAAAGAATACATGGATGCTGGCCTCCCTTTGGAGTACAAGATTATTCTCAGAAAAGGTACCCACTGTACCAACTGTGTGTGGTTACTTGAAGTAATGTTTGTTGAGCCTGTATTCTGTGTAGGGCACCAGGCTAGTCATTGTGGGAGATTCTCAAGGACCAAAGGGCTGGAGAGACACTGAGGTGGGAGGGGATGCAGGACTGTAGCTGGAAATGGCTTCAGAAGGAGGACTCACTGTCATGAATGGGGTGATGGAGTCCTTCTACAGGAGGAGAGCCCTGAACATTGAGCAAAGTTCATAGAGGACAGAGAAGGACGTGCCCTCGTGGTCAGAAAGAATGCTGCGAGTCAAAGTCCAGATGTGGGAATGTGTTTCCTGAGAAAATGGAGTAACGCAGCTTGGAAGATGAGTGGAAAATTAGAAAAGAGGGTGAGGACTTGGTTCTGACCACGCTTAAAATCTTGGCTAAGGCATTATTCCTCACTCTGACAGTCATGAGAACCGTGGAAGAGGGTTAAGGGGGAGTTAATGAACGTAATTGTTATGCAAGCTTAATCAGACAGTAACAAGGTTTGCTTCTGCGGAAAGAGACTACAGGCACTCCTGAGGGGAAGGACTTAGCGTGTGAGATGAGGAGGGTTTGAACACGTCTGACAGTGAGGAGGAAGTGAGCATGCCTGGTGTTGTGGGCCTTAAGGAGAAAGGGGGCTTCTGCACCTCAGGGGTTGATGATATAGGAAGTGAGAAGGAAGTATGGGTCCTGTAAACCTCTAAGCGTATTTGATGGAGACGCGGATTACTGGAGTCTAGGTCCTACACATGTCCCTTCCTCCTCGTACAGTGAGTGTTACTTAGCCATCACTGAACCGTATCCCAGTGGCGCTGGGATACATGTCAGCAGAGTCTCAAATGAAATTTGGTTATATGGCTGTCTTTCACATTCACGTTGAGTCTCGACAGACACATGAGCTCCCAGTTTCCACATGAAAGTCACTGGCCCATCTTCACGTGTGACACTACACACTAGTGCATCAGCTCTCTGAGCATCCGGAACTGTGAAATCAAGAATGATCAAAGCAGGGGGCTAAAGGTGACTCAGCAGTAAAACGATAACGCTCTGTGAGACTGAGCCACGTGAGCGGGTTCTGTGTTCATGACTGGAGACCTCCCTGAATTCAGCAGGCACACATATGCCCATGATCCAGCCTGAGGCCAGGGGTAAGTTATGGTGTTGGAACTCTGTTGGGGGTACTGTCTCTCTTGCTCTGTCTCTTTTCTCTCTTGTTCATGGGAGAAATAAATGAACTTTAAAAAATGATCAAGGTAAGGAATTTAAAGCTGGGAGGAAAAACAAAAAAAAAAATTGGCAGATAACTTAGTATCTGCTTGACATCAATTTAAATGCTAAACACTCGCCAAGGAAATCATTTGACTAGGATTCCTTTCCAATTCACTCTGCCCAAAAATCCTACTGGATGTCCATGGAGAAAATATACTTCTTGTGGGGCTTGTTGCAAAGTAACTATGTGGGGCTGGCTGCTTAAAACCGGAAGAAAGAAGTTGATCCAATACATTAAAGGAAGTTGAAGTTCGGTATCTTCCTAAGCGTTGATGATTTTATAAATGATAAGAAATTATTGTATATGATGACTACACGCTAAATATGGAGAGACTTCAAAAAAATGTTTAAAACTGAAATTAAAATATAAGTTTATTTCGGGGCAAAAAGATTTCAAAGTCCATGCTCAGCTTTTTCACATGTATGCTTCATGAACTTTTTGAAGACCTCGTGCACTTCCTGTAAGTGTTCATAAATAAAAAAAATGCTGCCTGGCTTGAGTCCTGGTTCTATTACTCTTGTACCTGGCCAGCTATTCACCTCTCTTTGCCTTCTTATTCCCATCTATTAAATTAGATGATAGCGCCAATCCATCCCTTGTGGAATACCGAGACAATAAATGAAGAACTTACACGAAGGATAATTAGACAGAGACTGACACATAGAAAAAAAAAATAAGTGTGTGCTATTATTATTTCAAGCATCAAATAATGATTTAGCAACATGGGGACAAAAGCTTTTAAGCTCTTTTTTTAAATGCAATAAATGCTGTAATTGCAGGAATAAAAGAATTCATCATGACGATTCAACAGGAGGAGCAAACTTTTTTTGTTTAATTTTTGCAGTTGTTGAAACAGAGTGTACTGTGTTGATGTGAAGAAAAACAGGTGAAATACAAATAAAACGGAAGGGATGAGACCTCCAAGTACATGTAACGTGAAGACAGTTCCAATCCACAGCAAACAGCACATCTATGAGTGATAACACGAAAGCAAAGCCTGGCTTTAAGGATGCAAGGGGTGTGCTGCAGGGAGGGCCAATAGTCAACCCCATCCTCTTTCATGATCTTTCTGTGTTTATCCAAATGAGCCCACGCGTAGCCCACATATGGGCGTGAACTCAGAGTTCAGCTCCCTCTTTGGTTAATTTCTCTGTAGTGGTAGCACCATGGAGAAAGGGACACGCGTGACAATGTGCTTTCTCCTCCACCTTTTGCTCATGAGGTGTTGCTTCATCTCACACGCAAGATGTCTGAGTCCAGAAGTGCGAAGAGCAAGTGAGGAAAACCATGTGTGCTCGGGAAAGAAATGCTCCAAAAGCTGTTTGTCACGCCATTGTCTCAGAGGTGCACAAAGGAGTGGGCAGGAACCAGCCCTGCCTTGGGAGAAGCAGGTCTTCCCTGCTGTGTCACGTCGTCTGGAAACGCGGGCAGTAAAAGGCACAGTCACGTGTAAGATGGCTTTATTTCTGCTCTGACTCCTCTGTAGACAGCGTCTCCCTTACTGCCTGCACCTTGGAGGGGTCGCCCTTTCCCCTCTGTTTCAATTATGTGTGATAGGTCATCAGTTGTGAAAGAGGATCTTATACTTTTAAAAGATTGCAGGGCTGGCCTGTGGCATGGTGGTTAAAGCGGCTAGCTCTCACATGGCCAGCCACCTGATTCGAGTCCTCGACCCAGTGACTTGAAAAGCATACCAGGTGTGTGTATGCGCATTCCCAAAATCTCAAAAGGAGGGAGAAATGGAGGAGAAGGGATTGCAGCATGCCAACCCCCAGTGGGGAGTGTTTTTTTTTTTTTTTTCTCTCTGTCTTCCTCTCTCCCTCTTTCAGACACTATCCTGTGAATTTAGGCACCCTGTGGCAAATTTTTTTTCAATTAAATTAAATTAAAGAGAGGAAGGATATATATATTATCTGAAATTAACCTACAGAAGACAAGTTTTGTCTTGTCACATTTTATCATGTCAAAGTATGAGGTTATTGGAGTCATGCCAGATTCATATAAAACCACAGGGAGGCTGTAAACAATTTGGCTTTCCCTAGGAAGAAAGTTATTCAGCCTACCAGACCTAAGTATAAAATTAGCGTTAGATGGCACCAAAATACTTGTATCGATAACCTTGATGTACATTCATTTATTCACTCAAAAAATATCTTCGAGGCACATGCCAGGTGCCGGGCTCTGCAGCGTGGACTGAGGATGATATATGGGCCTGCTCAGCCCTGCCCTCTGCAGACTGTGTTTGTGCTGGGCACCCCTCCCACAGATTTCTGTGAGACAGCGAGATGAGCCAGTCAGCAGGAGGCGACAGAATTGCACAGATGTGTGTACCCCAAACTGGTAGTCAAGAAAGGCTCCCCAGAACCCCCGCAACTTGAATTGCACACTGAACAATAAACACACGCAACAAAGAAACAGGCTGGGCTACCAGCCTTCCCATGATGCCCACCGCAATCTGATATTTTAGGAAATTGAACTTTGAGAAGCTGACCTTCTGATAAAGTAGTAGCTAAGATTTTCTTACAGAAACGCCCGCTTTACCATCCTCACTACCAAAACGCGCACGTACTGACAAAGGGAAACGTTACAAAAGACAACACGTGTACCACACGCCATGCGAGGGAACGGAGGACACGTTCACAGTCTCCGTTGGCAGGTTTTCCTCCACGCACAGTGAAACAGAGGGGGCTGTACGGTCAGAGAGCAGCTGAGTCCTGAAGAGGAACCAGCTGAGCACGAGGAGGAGGACGAGGAGGAAGCAGAAGTGAAGCAGCGACTTGGCTTCCTGGCACACCGAGACATTCTGAGAAGACCAGGTTGCAAATAGCGTCCTCAGGAAAGGAGCACATTTTACAAGGCAGGCCAGCTCCATCGTCCTGCTGGGTCCCCGGGAACCGAACTCCAGCCATCATCCTCTAAGAAAGCGCTTTCAGCTCACAGTGGACAGGACAAACTCGGGGACCAGCGTCTCAGGAACACTCACTTGGATTTCTGCCACGTAATCTTAGGCGGTGCTTGATCACACCGCGCAAACCCAGGGCCACGCAGTCGTACTGCAGCTGCAAATCCTCCTTCCTCACAGCAGCTATCCTTAGGACGATGCTCTGGCAGGTCAGCTCATTGCTGGAACTGAAAATGCACCACGTTACCTGTAATGCTCACTTCGTAGGCATGCATTGTGCGGGAGAAGGGGGGTGGTTAACTTCTATACAAAAATACCTTTGATTTTCCTCTTTCTCCTCGTGAAATCTTGCTTCATTCAAGTCCTCCACTTTAGTGTGGTTAACCTCCCACAGGACATTCGTAAGCAACTGGTAGCCTTTCCCAAAGCAAGCGGAGCAAATCAGGTTTGCTGTTTTCCCTAGAGGGGAAATAAAGAAATGTACCAATAAAATTAAATTGTGCGTGTAGTGTTTAACTTGACTGAACTTGCAATTGTCGAATGTCTAGTGTGTATGCCCTGTAATAATCCCCATCTCCTTTTCTCCTCCCTCACACTTTTGTCTTTTCAGCCCTCATTTTGCCTTCTTGCCTGTTCTCATTGTCTGCATCTCACTTAATTCAGTTTGAAGCCTAGCTCCCACTACCCTCTGACCTGCCCGGAAAACTAACAAGGCCCATGACTCGGGCTTCACCACCTGCATTGTAATGTAGGAGTTCCTTTACTAGAAACGGGAGTTTCTTTGTAACTGCTCTCTTCCACACCTCTCTCCACCTACCGAGTTCTCTTCATCTTTCCGTAAGCTATCTTGGAAGGGAAAACTGCTTTATCCATCTGACCACCCTTCTGTACGTAAGTACCAAAGAGCGCCCTTTGGCTCCTATCCCAGCTGCTTTGACCAGAGATCTCCTCCTTTCAAAGGCTGCTTTTGTGTCTTGGACATACGCTTTACTGCGCTCTTGATTCCTAAAGGAGTTGAGTTAGAAATAAGGCCTCTGGGGCCAGCAGTTGGTGTAATGGCTATGTCGCCGGACTCCCATATAGTCACCTGCAGTTCAAGTCCTGGACCCGGTGGCTTAAACTGACGCTGGGTGCATGCATGCCCAAGATCTCGAGAGAAGAAGGGAGGAAAAAGGATTGTGGCATGGCCATACCCTCTGAGGGGTGATTTCTCGCTTTCTGTCTCTGTCTCTCTCTTTCTGGCGAGTGCACATGCCCTATGGCAAAAAGCTCTAAAAAAGAAAGAAAGAAAGAGAGAGAGAGAGAGAGAGAGAAAGAAGGAAGGAAGGAAGGAAGGAAAGAAGCATCTGAGAAGGGATGAGAAGCTCAGTCTCTGGGGAGGTAGCGAGGGCATAAACAGACAATGAGAACACAGGATGTTCTAGAGTTCTGACAGCAGGATTGGCAAGGGGGCATGGCGGTACACGGAGGGGGTTGCAGGAGCATGGCTGTGATGCTGCACTTGCACATGGGGCCTGGACTTACTCCCACGGAGACGCTGATTGTGTGCCAGCAAGGGGTAAGTATCGTATGGAGGGATTTCATAGAGGGAATGATGCTGGAACTTCGTTTTGACAAATGAAAAAAGAGGAGGAACAACATGAGCACAAGTGGGGAAGAATGTGAAAAGAATCGGTTATCGATGAGCAAAAGGTGGCAGGGAGTGTGGTAGGGCCAGTGGCTGCAGGTGGGCTCTCGTGGCTGAGGGGGCTTGTGTTACCCGCTAAGAACTGTGAATGTATCCCACCTCTAGTGGGAGCTAGGACAGGCGGAGCTGAGAGCCAGGAAGTCTGTATCCCCCTTCTAGCACTTATTACCCACGACCTTGGGCACCTTCTGGAACCTAGGTATACTCAGAACCAAGTGGGGGTGACATCGAACTCCCGGACAGAAGTGAGAATGAATGCAGTCCAGATGTGAGTGATACCTAGTCTGGCTGTGGTTCCGAGTGTCAGCAAGTGCCCGGGGCAGGTGCTGCCGCGAGTGTCAGCACACTTATTCTGAAAGCGCCCTGTGCTCACTGCCTGCCCTAGAGGAATTCAGGCTGAAGTCACTCAGAAGAGTTTTCCCGGTCATGTTGACAGTGTTCTTAACATTTTCTTACCGATATCCACTTCCTTTGTTTCATTGGGTTCAGGGGTTTTAATTACTGGAGGCAAAGGAAAGCCTTGCTTAACTTAAAGACAAAAAAGGAATACAAATATTAGGCAATCGTTGGGTGATCAGCAATATATAACTTGTATGTTTACGCTTCCATCTTATTTCATAGCAATGACTCTCAATTTTTTCTGACGATAACCCATGGCAACACACACATACACACAGTCACCAATAAATGAAACAAAATACATTTAAACCATACTTTCTCTTACTGCCTGTGACAGTCTTTGATATTTTCTTTCTTTTTTTAATTACCAAAGAGTGCTTCCCATGTAGAGAGACAGAAGGAGTGAGTACACTGCTCAATGGGGTGTAGTCGTGTTGCAATCCTTTTTCCTCCATGTCTCTATTCCATCAGGATTTGGGACACACACACACTCTCACACGCACACATGCACACTCACTCACACTCACACACACACACACACATGCCTAGTATGTTATTCAAAATGTCCATGCTGGGATTCGAACTTCATTTATTCATGTGGGATCTGGCTCCCTATGCACAAAGCTTAACTGTTGTGCTACAGGGTCAGCTCTGATCTTTGATTTTTTTTTATTCTGTTTTAAATCATTAAAGGAAATGCTGGTCCAACCCATTTAATCAATTTTATAACCGAGTAATTGTTAGAAAACCACTTTTCTATAACACAAGCTTAAAACTAGAGAGAACATTTCTAAGGCCCATGAGAATGATAAATGCATACTTCCACAGTTTCCCCTGCCCCCGGTTCTCCACCACTGTGGCCCATCCTCAGCACAAACATTTCTTTCCTTTAAGGAATCCCAGTTTCTTTGGCAACTGAGATGAAGAGGCAGGAATGGGGAGTGGACACTGCATTCCTCCACCTCCCTGACGCTCGTTTACTTCAGGGTAGTCGGAATTAAGAACCACCCCAGTGATCCAAGCAGTGAGAAGCATTGACAGAAACGTGGCCTCGTGGAGCTAGCAAGTGGCAAGGTCGTAAAGGTGCTGCACCCACATAACCGACTCTGTGATTCGCATCCCAGACCTCGTGCCTTGAAAATCACACCGGGCACACGTGTGTGCGTGCCCACAGTCCTGAGAGGAGAATGGAGGAGAAGGGATAGCACTGTGGTCAGCCCCCCTGGAGGTGTGATTTCTCACTTTCCCTCTTTGTCTCTTTCTGGTGAGAGTATGCGCCTTTCAGAACATATAGAAAAAAATTTTAAAAAGGAAGAAATGCGATCTGGCAGTTTATTTTGTTGTTGTTGTTTGTTTGTTTGTTTTATAGAGAGGGAACATTGGAAAAACCACAATATTCTGTAATACCGTCCTATGATGTTCTATGATATTGCCTTTCCCTAAGGAAACTACCACAAATGGGGGCCCGCAGGTGGCATGGTGGTTAAGGCACCAGACTCCCACATGGCTGACTGTGGTTCAAGGACCAGACCTGGTGCTTTTCCACTTTCTATCTCTCTCTCTGTGTCTCTATCAGGTAAAATAAAGAAAATAATAGTAATAATAAATAAAATAAAATAATTCTTAAAAAACAACTGCCATATGTGAAGGTGTCCCTTCATCTCTGTCTATAGTCCAAGCTGTGTTAAGGAGACTCCCAGACTTCACAGATTGCATAAGACCTGTTTGTAAAGTCTTCCCCCAAAACGGGTTTTTATAAATTTTAAAATAAATTTGGAAAAATATTTGTTAGTTTGAGTGACTCACTTGAGGCCACTGATGACGTCAAAAGTATTACAAAGCAGGGGGCCGAGCGGAGGCATGCCGGTGCAGGGGTGGTCTCTGAGGTCACCTGCTGGGACCTCCCTGTGTATACCAGGTACATACCCATGCCCATGATTCAGGCTGGCTGGTCCCGGATCATGGAGTAGATCCTGACATGAAGACCCTGTTGGGGGTGTCAGTTTCTCTCTCTCTCTCTCTCTCTCTCTTTGAGAAAATATAAATAAATAGACTTTAAAAACTATTTGAAAACTATAAATGAAAACCACTCAATAGTATTTATATACGCCACTTTAAAGCTTCTTAATAAATTTCTGATCAACCGAGTCATGCTAAAGATTATTTTTTTGATTAATTTATTTTTTCCAGAAGTGAGAGAGAACAGGAAAGAGAGACAGAGACAGCACTCCCAACTGCATATGGACCCCACAACCCACTCGAGTCTTCAGCTAGTCCTGGATCCCCGGCAAGCATGTGCCCTGTGCTCAAGGAGTTCCAGACAGCGACCCTCCCACGTGAGTCAGTCTTGCAGAGTGTCGCTGTCTGCTGCTGTGCCACCCTTCGATCCCAAGAGTTCTTTTTTTAATGCACAGAATCTCTTTTGACAGCTTTGGTAAAGAAATATTACTGCTCTTCACAGAGTTCTGTTGCCTTTCAAAAATGGAGATTGCACTAGCATTCAGATTCTTTATCTTTGGAAAATTACATCACAAAGGAAAATAACAGATGTGGCTTTGGATTAGTGCAATCTCCCCCTTAAATTTCTTAAATCTTGATAGTACATTTCAAAGCTCCCCTGTCTCAGTTGACAACGTGTACGATAAGGTGGAACAGGAGGAAGTGCTGGGGGGGAAGACCAAGTGTGGAACACCGCTTAGGAGCACAACTCTTCCCATTTTCTTTGTTTTTTGCCCTACCTTACCTTTAAGTAGGAAGGATCTGGTCGCTGTCACATTGTAGCTGACTCCATTTTCACTGTGTTTAAATTTGCATGTGTAATCACCGACATCTTCCGGGGTCACGTTGTCAATCACCAGATAGTCTTCATGGGCCTGGTACCTCGGTCCTTTCAGAGCTTCACAATTCTGAAATAAGAAAAGCCCACGCTCTTTCCAGTCGTTCTTCACATGTATCTATTTCAGTTACGTACATGTCATCTACTTCCCCTCGGTGGCGGCTTTTATGTTTTTTACCTTAAACCACTCAAGAGGTGCGGTCCAATTGTAGTATTTAACTGTAGGGCAATATATTTTGGAGTTTTTTTCTGATCCTCGTACTGTTAAATACATCAAGAAATCTGGGATGGTGCAATCGGGCTGTTCCTTGTATATGCTGACATTCACAAACACGGTTTTATTGAAGTCAGAACTATTAAAACAAGACAATGAAAAAATTACTCAACATTGTGAAATAACTTGATCAGCTCTACCCTTCACTTAATATTGCTTTTCTTGTTAAAATGCTTGATAAATAGCGGCTCTTTTCTTATTTAAAAGGAATCACTGGGGCCAGCCAGTGGTGTGGTGATTAAGGCAGCAGCTGAATCCCAAGAGGCCGACTGTAGGGTTCAAGTCCCAAAGCTGGAGGCTTGAAAAGCATGCTGGGTGCAAATGCTTTGCATGCCAAAAGTCCCAAGAGAAAGGAGGAGAAGGATTGCAGCCACTATCTTCCCTGATGGACACTTTCTCACTCTCTCTCTCTCTGTCTCTCTCAAGTGAGCACACATACCCTATAGTAAAATTTAAAAAAAAGAAGTAATCATTAAAATCTAGAATTTCAATGATGTCTTTATTACCCTTGAGGTAAAACATAACCTCTGTGGTAGTCTTAAAAACGACGCCCTCACCTCTCCGTCATTCGCCACATCTGCTGTGTGCCAAATAGTACATCAGAATATGATAAATATGGTAACAATAATTAGTACTAATGAGAATTTACTCTGTGCCAGTCACGGTGGTGAGAACTTTTTTATGTATTACCTCATTTTATTCTCACAACAATGCTTTCAAGTAGATGATATTATGTTACAGATGAGAAAACCGAGAGGCCCAAGAGAAAACTGTGAGGCCTAGAAGTAACTTGCTGGCACCACACAGCTGACTACTGGCAGAGCACGAATTTGAAATGGATACTTCTAGATTCAGAACCTAGACCCTAGGTGCTTATATCCACACTACCTGCCCTTGGATGTAGTTCATCTGAAGTCTTTTTTTTAATTCTTTTTTTTTTTTTTTTGAGAGGTTTTCACTATAGGGTGCGTGCGCTCGCCAGACAGACAGAGAGAGACAGAAAGCGAGAAATCACCCCCCCAGGGGGGATGGCCATGCCGCAATCCCTTCTCCTCCATTCTCCTCTCAGGATCTTGGCACGCACGCACATGCACCCGGCATGAGTTTTAAGCTACCGGGTCCGGGACGCGAACCGCGGTCAACTACGTGGGAGTCCAGCGACATAGCCATTACGCTAACTGCTGGTCCCCCATCTGAAGTCTTGAGTGTACCAAATACTAGTACAAAACCAGGACATTTAACAAACTATATACGAAGTAAGTAATTTGAAGGCAAGCAATCTCATGTGACCATTCGGGGCTGAACTTTAAGATTGAAGGCGCATGTAACCGCCCCTTTTCACTCATGATAAGCCTCTAAGATATCAAACATACATAAAAAAAAATAACATTTGTTATGCTAATTTGTTCTGCCTTTCAGCCAAAAGTGAGCAATTGTTCTCATTGCTCTTGGTCACTAGGAATCGGAGGACTTTTTCTAATCAGGCTACAAATGAATCCCTGCAATTATAAATCAAATATTTTATATCACCTCAACTCCGTATTAGTAAGATTCCCCCAAAGAAAGGGACTAGCAGGTGGTGTGGTAGTTAAGGCACTGGACACTCCCACATGGCCAACCACAGTTCCAATCCTGGACCTGGTAGCTTGTTTTCTCCCTTTCTCTCTCTCTGTCTCTCTCTGGTCAAATTAAAATAAATGAATGAATGCATTTAAAAAAAAAAAAGATTTCCAGAATTATTTTTTGTATTCAAATTGCTTTTTAACCATCCAGCTGCTCCAGAAAGAAGTAGAAATGGAAGAAAAATGAGAGAAGTTCAGACTATCAATAATTAAAGAAAAAAGAGAGCAGGCCCAAAGCCATGTCCTGGACCTGGTAGCTTGTTTTCTCACTTTCTCTCTCTCTGTCTCTCTCTGGTCAAATTAAAATAAATGAATGAATGCATTTAAAAAAAAAAAAGATTTCCAGAATTATTTTTTGTATTCAAATTGCTTTTTAACCATCCAGCTGCTCCAGAAAGAAGTAGAAATGGAAGAAAAATGAGAGAAGTTCAGACTATCAATAATTAAAGAAAAAAGAGAGCAGGCCCAAAGCCATGGCAGCTTTCCAGATAATACCTTCTGACAAAGCAAGTGTAAATTCCAGAATCATTCACTTGGGCTGGTAGAAACTTAAGAAGATCACCGGAGGCAAATACACGATTATTCTCCTGGGCAGGAATTCTTTTGTTTGTTTGTGGGTAAAACCAATCCACAGAACCTCCGCGATTACGGCATTTTACAATTAAAGCTCGATTTTCCAAACTCAAGGCTTGTTGAGCTGCAAATACGAAAACATAAATATGATACTGAAATAACCACACAAAAAGATCCTAACCCCCTGCATTTTTAATATTTCCTTCTAGGATTAAATTTACAAGTGATCATATGTTGTGATACTTCGAGAAACGAAGTAAATTATTAAGATCTCTTAGGGAATCTTCTACTGGGTACTGAGATCAATGCATTGCTCTGAAGCTAAATCCCCCATACCGCTACGGTAGAAAAGCAGCCTTGTCTTGCTAAGCAAACCGGAAGTTAAATGCCTACAATGCCTTCTGCCTGCAGGCAACGTTAAATTCTGATATCTAAATACGTTAATCTAAAATCAGGGTGTACTTGTTTGGAAAAGTTTCTCCTGATCTGTAATGAAGAATGACTGTAGAGCAAAAAATGAATTTTCCAGTTTAGCAGGAACCATTGGAAGCAAGCAGTTTTCAAACAAGGCACATGTTCTTGGACTTAATTCAAAGAATGTTAAATGTGGGTTGAAAAGCAATACTTACACTCTTGAGCTGCTATTGCATGGATGACAATGGTTAGGCTGGCTAGTATCCAAAGCCCCATTCTCTGTGTATCAGTTCAAAACAAGTGCGGGTCACTGATGGTTGAGATTACTCTAGATGAATTAGTGACAGAAGATGATGAACTTCCCCAGGGAGGTGCTTGCTGATGCTACCCAGGACTTAAAGTTCAGGGTAGTTGGTTGTCACCACTGAAAAATAAATCATTTACAATCACAAGCAAAACATTTGTCAGCCATGACTTTCACTTGTTCAGTATCTCGCAGGAGAATTCATTGATCAATACGTATTTAAGTATAGCTCTGTGGAACAGCAGGTCTGGGACATGCTATGATGTATTTATTCCTGCTTTTTTTTTTTGGGTTGCACAGCCCTCAGGGATCAGAGGCTGCTTTGGTTATATTTTACCAGTATCATGAGAATGTCCTGAAAAAATTAAATTAAGAAGGGGGAAAATAAAGCCATAATCAGCAAGAGACTCTAGAGAGTACAATATTCTATAAAACCACACGTCCACACAGGCTGGTGGCCTACTGAATTGTAGGCGCAGGTGCACATAGTCACCCCAGAGCTGGGAAGGAATGCAGGAACGTGAGAACTGAAGCATTATCTGATTATTGCTCTACCCAAACCCTCAGAAATGTGTCTCCACCTCGGCTCATCCCCAACAGCCACCACAGTCTTTCTAAGAATAGTTGAAGATGTAAGAATAAAAATGAAATACTGTTCTTCTAGCTAAAATAAAAAACTCATTTACTCTATTTTTTTTTCTTAAAAAGGGGAGGGATAAAACCGATATAAAGTTCACAAACTTAAAATAAATACAACAATCCTTAATATAGTTCTCAAAAGCACATCTACTCTAAACATGAACTGACAATACTTTTCTTATGACAAACTTTAGATAAGTAATTGATGCTCACCCAAACTGAGGACAGAGGGATTCAACTTCAAGGCAATGACTGAGCTAAGAATAGTTTCCAGCCCCTGTAGCTCCCTCCTCATAGACTGCTCACATGGACACACTCTCTTTTATTTAAAAGGGGAGACATTCACAGACATCCTGTAATTTGCCACTCCTCCCACCCTGAAATTTTATTTTTAGCCAAAACCCATGACTTGTTTGGAAATGCTGGTGCATCGTGTACTAAGAATTCTTGACCTTGGCACATAAATATTTGCATGTAATGACATTGAAGTAATCCAATTATTTCCCCCCTTCTGACATCCATTTCTTGAGGTAAGCAATGACTGTTTACGATACTGATTTAATTACACTTTTAGTTCTAAATAAACCTGACCTGCTTGGCCTGCTCTTCCAGACATTTCTTGACACCGTGTTTGGCAGACAGTACCGAGGAGAATGCAGCCAGTTCCAGCAGCTTTGCCACAGCTCCAAAAGCCAAGGGGGACACAGGTAATAAAAAGTAAGGAGGATTTTGGGAGGCTCAGAAATGTTCTGTCTGGGCCAGCCCATGGCATGGAGGTTAAGGTCATTGGCTCTCACATGGCCAATAATGTGGTTCTAGTCCCAGACACAGTAGCTTGAGAAACACACCGGGCATGTTTGTGTGTGTGAATGTCCATAATCCCAGAAGGAGAGGTGAAAGAGAGGGGATTGCTGTGCGACCATCCCCCAAGGGGGTATTTCTCACTTTTCCTCTCCCTCTCCTTGTTTCTCTCTAGCAACACTAAATAAAAAATAAAATAAAATAAAATAAAAAATAAGACCTCCGTTCAAGTCCTAGACCTGACAGCTTGGTTCCAGCAGCTTTGCCACAGCTCCAAAAGCCAAGGGGGACACAGGTAATAAAAAGTAAGGAGGATTTTGGGAGGCTCAGAAATGTTCTGTCTGGGCCAGCCCATGGCATGGAGGTTAAGGTCATTGGCTCTCACATGGCCAATAATGTGGTTCTAGTCCCAGACACAGTAGCTTGAGAAACACACCGGGCATGTTTGTGTGTGTGAATGTCCATAATCCCAGAAGGAGAGGTGAAAGAGAGGGGATTGCTGTGCGACCATCCCCCAAGGGGGTATTTCTCACTTTTCCTCTCCCTCTCCTTGTTTCTCTCTAGCAACACTAAATAAAAAATAAAATAAAATAAAATAAAAAATAAGACCTCCGTTCAAGTCCTAGACCTGACAGCTTGCTTTCTTGCTTTCTCTCTCTCTCCCTCTTTCCTCTATCCATCTCTCTCTGTTGAATTGAAATAATAATAATAAATTAAATAAATTATTTTTAAAAAGAAGGAGAAATTTTCTATTTGTGGTTCAAAATGTGACTCAGTCACAAAATATTTGTGATTCAGTCACAAAAATAAGCTCTACCTCCTTAGATTTAAATTTCAGTCAGGGTCTCAGCTTGCAGTTCAAAGAAATGACTAAGAAGTCTACTTTCAGGCAGTGATGACACAAACCAGGACCCTCAGTTCTTGGGCTCCATATGAAACCAATGTAATAACAAAAGTTGACCTTAACTAAACATGTTTTAATCATGACTCCGTTTTGTGAGTAAACCAACTTACTTTTAAACGTCACCACATCTGGGAAGCATTCAGGGACTAACTCCAAAACAACTCACTGATATAATAATAGCTAATCTTTATCTAGAACGTCCTCACACCGCAATCCCCTCTCCTCCACTCTCCTCTCGAGATCTTGGGCATGTACACACACACACCCGGCGTGAGTTTAAACCACCGGGTCCAGAACTCAAATCGCAGTTGACTGCATGGGAGTCCAGAGACACAGCCATTATGCCAACTGCTGGTCCCTTTGTCACACACTTCTGAGTAACTCACACGTCTTCATCCCTTCATTCTCATATAACCCAATGATGTATTTGCTATTTTTATTATCCATATTTTATAGACAAAGACAATGAACACAGTGCCCAAGTCACATAACACAAGTGAGAGCCAGAATTTGAACTGAGGAGGCTAGCTCCAGACGAGACGAATCACCAAATCATACAGCCACCAGGTGTGAAAGGCTAAGTAAGGAGACACTGCAGAAGAGGAGTTCTAAGTAAAATTTTTGAGCCAGTGTTTGACAGTATCTTTGCTCCATGTGGCGACTGGGAAGGCTGTTGAGCAGTCGTCTTATCTGCCTGAAGGTTTAGTCAGCCTTTGGACGTGCACAACCCTCTGAAAGGAAGAGATAGAAAAGTCTTTTGACTGCAACGAGATTGGCCGTGAGATGTTTGGTGTAAATTTAAGGAATCAGTCTGCTCATTGCTAATCTTGACCAACTTGTGACAGGTCTTATCAAGATCATATCATGAGTTTAGCGTGAGATCCCAGAGTCAGGAGCCAGCATGTTTAGGATACCACCTGGGGTTGGTAAATGCTAGAGAAGCATTTGTTAAAGGAAATAATACAGGGGGTAGGTGGTGTAGCAGTGGTCAAGTGTGATATTGTGACATTCTGCAGGGCAATCTTACAAGCGAAAGTTCCTGGTTCAAGCCCAGCAAACTCCCTGAGTATTCGAGGGGCATATATGCTCATGAACCGGGGCTAGCTGAAGTCTTGGGGGTGGGTCATGGTGCTAACACCCTGCTGGGATTCTCTTTTGCATGCAGGAGCTCACTCATGGAAGAAACAAGTAAAAAACATTGACAATAAACTAGCAAAAAATACAGACTTGGATTTATTTTATGTTTGTATTCTGAAAGAACATTTTAAAAACACCCATGAAATTTAGGAATTTGTTCATTAAATCAAGGCCTCATACATGTTGGTTTTTTAATTTTAAACATGAGGTTTAAGTCAGAATTTTTTTTTTGAGAGGTTTTGCTATTGGGCACGTGCGCTCACCTGAAAGACAGAGAGACAGAAAGAGAGAAGTCACCCCCTTCGCAGGGGGAATGGCCACGCCACAATCCCTTCTCCTCCATTCTCCTCTTGGGATCTTGGGCACGCATGCACACGTGCCTGGCATGAATTTAGCCTGCCGGCTCCAGGATTTGAACCACAGTCGACTACATGGGAGTCTAGTGACATAGCCATTACACCAACTGCTAGCCCCCATAAGTCAGAATTTTAACATACAGAATTTTGCAGAAGCATTTAGAAAAGTCTATCATCATTAAATTATTGCCATTCACTCAACAATTAAGTCTTTTCATTCAGAGTACAAGTGTGAAAGTTATCATCAACATCATTCAAATTTTACAGATTAAAATAAAAGCCCAAGGATGAGACTGGTTAAATAAATTGACGAATCTCATCCAGTTGTGGCTGGGTAGAAACCAGACTTGCTGAACCTCAAAACCAAAGCTTTTTTTTTCTTTTTTTTTTTGGTGTGTGTTTTTCTCTCTAATGTCAACCCCTCAAAAAAAGAGAAAGAGAGAGAAATTATAGAAGTAAAGCCTTCCTCTCATAATTAGGACTGGGCTATTTAAAAACATAAGCTAGTCTAATTTTCCTTAAACCTCTTCTTTATAAAAAACAAAGCCATTTGGCTATTTTTAGTCTTTTTTTGAAATTTACATTTAATCATTGTATGTTTTTACAGCATATGATATGGGTTCTCCGATCATAAATGCATTGCATGTCAAGCAACTCAAAGATACTCCCATGAGCAATGCTTTCCACTCTTAAGTCTGCTGAGGATTTTTTCTTTTTCCCCGTTGAGTTTTGTCGGCGTCCGCCCCCAGGCTTAGCGCTATTATGGAAGAAGCAGAAAAGATGAGACAAAAAGATAGAGTGGAAACGGACACAGGCAGCCTGAGCCTAGGTAGCCCAAGCAATTTGTGCCGCCCAGATGAACTGGACGTCTTTATTTATAGTACAAGGAGACATTACACATGTACGTTTCATGACACTTCATGGATTGGTTGCCAGGTTACAGACAATAAGAAGCAGTTAACAAATCTATAAGAGATTAGTCATACCAGGGGCAAGGTGTATCCCTTGGTGGTAATCCCATCTAGAGTAAATCTCATCTTCCTTTCTAATGCAGAGAACTAGCTGTTAGGTGTGGAGAAGGAGCTAAAGAACTTCTCCATAAGGAGTGCACCACCACACCCAGAGTAGGCTAAAGAACCTTTCAGATGCAGAGCAGGGATTGGACTTTACTATTTGGGGTCAAGATGTTTCTTGAAGTCCATCAGATGTGTCTGTTGGAACGCCCCTAGTAATTTCCACCCTTGCTCTGTCTGCAGCCAAGGTCAAGGAAAGACAAGTTACAAGGTTCTGCCAAACCCCAAAAGAGCATGTGGTGTTTGCTCAGCGCATGTCCCCACACCTCAGACTCTCTCTCTTAAACGTGTCCCCACAGAGTTTCCTCCTCCCCAAGCACCACCCCACACCCCATACAGTCTATGGTATCTCCTCTTGCTGGTTCTGCTATCGTGTTTTCCAATCTGTCAGTTTCTGTCTCCAAGTGCAGATATCCTGTATATTTTGAGGAGGGACATACAAAGTCTGTCTTTCATAGTCTGGCTTGCTCGAAGTAGCATTAAATTGTCTCTATTCGCTGATGACAGGCTCTGGGTGCTCTTTATGGTTGAGTAGTATTTCATAGGGTATATGGGCCATACTTTTCCAATCTGATCATCTGTTCTTGAGCACTTAGGCTGATTCCTTGTCTTAACGATTGTGAATAATGCTGCAATAAACATGCATATGCAAGTGTCTTTCCAGCTGAGTGTTTTCCTGTCCTTAGGGTAAATCCTCAGGTGAAATGAGAGGGTGGCATGGGAGTACTGTCTGTGCGTCTGGCTTCTAACTGTCCTGACACCATTCACCACAGGGTTAGTGGCATCGCAGCTTATAGCACCTCAACAATATAAAAGGTGAGAGGCAAAGGCTTCTAATCAAGAAATAAAACAAGGGAACCAGCAGTTAGCGTAATGGCTATGTCGCTGGACTCCCACGTAGTCGACCGCGGTTCGCGTCCCAGACCTGGTGGCTTAGAACTCATGCCGGGTGCATGTGTGTGCGTGCCCAAGATCCTGAGAGGAGAATGGAGAAGGGATTGCGGCGTGACCATCCCCCCTGGGGGGGTGATTTCTCGCTTTCTGTCTCTATGTCTCTCTCTGTCTGGCGAGCGCACGTGCCCTATAGTGAAAACCTCTCAAAAAAAAAAAAAAGAAAGAAAGAAAGAAAACAAGGGACTGAAACAGTCATATGTCTTGCTACGATAGTCATAAATCCTCCAGTGTCTGCCTGTTTCTTTGACAAACACCCTCTTCTTAAAACTTTTTGCAACCATGCTTCATTTTCAAAATGAATCTAATAGAAGCCAACCTAATCTGAACATCATTTTTTCCCTGATTTCAGGTTGCAGTGTTGAAATTTTACATTTGCTTATTTATAATCTACTTCTCTGACATTTTTAATAAAAAAATATAAAACTATATATATATATATATTTTTTTTTTAAGGTTGTCATAGGTCCTTGTGCTCACTAGAGAGAGAGACAGAGAG